AACTTTTGATGTGTGGCTAAAATTGGGCTCTATAATTCAAGTGTTAAAAGGTTCCAGCAGTACTGAGTTCTTTAGCTCAGTTACTGGACACTTCAGTTATAGGACAGCCCTGGTTTCACTTCTATGATCAAAAGTATGAACCACTACTTTGGAAGCCAGAAAAATATTCACTGTGCCTGATGACAGTAGGGATTCTTATTAAGTTCAGTGGCACATACCTGATCCTAGCACTTGGGATGTGGAAGCAGGAGGAACAGGGGTTCAGGGTCAGCCTCAACTCAATAGTGAGGATGAGCCAGCCTGGGATACATAGGAAGAAAAAGAAAAAAAAAAAAAACAAAAAACAAAAAACACAGGGCCTTTTGAGAAGAGTAGGGGTAGTACCAAGTATAGCTGATTGCTACTGGGGCTGGCCAGATAAAATTCAGGACAGGTTCTGTGTGTTGTTTTTTTAAGTGAGGGAAAAAGCACATTTGTTGTAGAAAGCAGATATTTAATGGTGGTAGCAGATTATGAGAAGAACATATTACTCCCTAGAAGTGGCTTTGGGTACTTCTTCCAGAGGTTCAAGGCCAAAGTAAATTATTTAACATTACTTTATACTTACCCTACAGATTAATCTGACTGCCCAGCCTACAGAATGTCTACAGAACAGGGACCACCTTTAAAGCCACTCCACATCACCATCATGTTGAGCTTTCTTTCTTCTATGTAACCCAAGCTGGCCTTAAACTCACAACCCTGCTTCTGCCTCATGAGTTCCAGGATCATAGGCAGGCATCGCCACATTCACCTATTTTTATTCTCTTTGTAGCTATTACCAAATGACATTCTTACTTATTTAGCTTACATTCTGTTTACAGAGTGGCTCCTTCTCTATCTGGCCCCACCACTGTATCTCCCATGCTTTAGAGAAGCCTGTTATTGCAAATTACATGACCTATGCAGTATCTTAATCAACAATGGGGATGTAATAGTCAAACAAAAAAAACCATCTTCCTATCATGCTGATTCATAGTCAAGTGTCCAAAGCCTCACAACAGGGATACAACAGCTTACAACAGGGATAGTTTCCTATTGTAAGCTAGTATATTCTCATTCTTTTTCGTTTTTGTTGTTGTTTTTGAAACAGGGTCTCCAATAGCTTCGGCCAGCCAAGAACACTATGTAGACCAGACTAACCTCGAAGTCAGAGACACCTGCCTAGCTCTGTGAGTGCTGGGACTGAAAGCATATACTGCTACACCCAGCCCTATGTTTCTATTTGTTTTTCTTGACAGGGTTTCTCTGTGTAATCCTGGTTGTCTTAAAACTCAGACTGTAGTCCAGGCTGGCCTCAAACTCAGAGATCTCCCTGCCTCTTCCTTCTAGAGTGCTGGGATTAAAGGTGTGCACCACCACCGCCTGGCCCTATGTTCTTAAATCCACATAAAGAGCCACCAGCTGAGGCCAGTTATACCAACAATGTGTTATGTAGCACATCTTCCTGCTGGTCCTGTGTATTTCCTGCAAAGCAAGCATAGCCCTAATATAGGAAACTGAATTTTATTTGTAATCAGGAGAATCTTTCACCAAACTATGGGTTTCATGGTCACAAGATTCTGGAGAGGATTAGGGATGTAGCTCAGTGGCAGAGGTACCTGCCTAGCACAAATTAGGCTCTAGTCTCAATCTCCAGAAGACTTTCAAGGGCCTAAAACTAAAACTACCCCCAAGAGGACATAGGGCTTAAGGAATACGGGCGAAAGTGCTATTTTGCATAAATGTATGTCAACAGTCTCACTTGTACAAAGTGAAAGCAATCACATGGTTCCTGTGCACCTTAAACCAGTAACACAGACAAGAAAGACAACCTTTTATGTTTTGTATTTCTTTTTCAGCTGATGTTTCCAGCTCAAGAGAGAATGGCAGAACTAGGTATGAAAGAGAAACCTCTTACAGATTAACTCTCAGGCATACCAGCAATGTTGGTCAAGCATGGGCAAACTGAAAAGTTCAGAAAATTTTCAAGGGTCATAAAAAACACTTTTCTATATTTCACCCTAATCCAGATTTCATATTCACCATAGTTTTTGATTTTGTGTGTGTGTGTGTGTGTGTAAGAGCCAATAGGGTGGAATGACAGCAGGAAGACAGGTAGGGCCACACCTACCACTATCTGATGTGCACCTCAAGCAGTTGAGTTAGTTATACTCAAGCCCCACCTCTCACTAGCTCTATGTACTCTGAGGAAAAGGATGGTAAACAACTCTCAGGTCTACTGGGTAGACATTTTAAGACAGTTTAAAATTCCTTGCCCAGAGTTTAAAGATTTTGTTTTTAATGCAATCCTTTCCTATCCCTAAGAGAAAGTACAACTTAATAAAATCCCAGTTCTAACTTCTTGGTCAAAGTAGATGTGACCATTCCAACTATATACCACTTCATTTTCATGGAAAATATTTTAACAACAAAAAGGAAAATCTCCTAATATCTTACCAGTGTAAGGTCTTCTCTTTCACACACACACACACACACACACACACACACACACACACAGACACACACACAGACACACGCACAAATCACCTCGCTAAATTTTTTTAGTAATTTTTCTTCGTAAGTTATAAAACAGGCATAATTAATATACACTTGAGTGTGATAGGTGCTTCCAATCTGAGTAGCTAGAATTTTTTACAAATCATACATTGAACACAAGGTCATAATTCAAACCCTAACAGAATTGTTTATTTTCAAAAATTTCAAATAATTCATCTGTGTAGTCATATTAAGTGTCTTCTTATATGATAGGCTTGATGTTAATATACAAGAAAGAAAACCTCTATTAACACATATACAAGATTGACATTATGAGCCCATTCCCCGATCCATGCTAAGACCATTTTTAAACTGTGCAGACAAAAAGGTGATCTAAGAAAGACACAGTGAACTGGGTGTGGTGCACGCACCTATATAATCCCAGGTGAATATAATCTGGAAGCAGGATCACTGAAAGTTCAAGGCCAGTCAGGACTAAATTGCAAAAATAAATAAATAAATAAATAAAATTTTTAAGAGGCACAGGACACCATATTAAGCATATGTCCTTCAAATATTACAATACTAAAAGTCTAGGACAAACAAGAGCAAAATCTAAGGCTGGTCTAGAAGAACTTACCATGCAAAAAACATACAGCCCACAGCCCTCACACACAGAAAAATCAGTGAAACTAACTGGGGTTCTTCAGAATCTGCCAGGAAGCATCCCGCTACCATTAAGGAATAAACAGGGGATGCAAATAAATAACTACTGCATCCTGAGGTGGATGTTAATTCTACTAGCCTACTACCTCACATCATGAAATTCTTCATCCTGAGGTGGATGTTAATTCTACTAGCCTACTACCTCACATCATGAAATTCTTCTTCATCCCTACTAGAAGACGGAAATTGAAATTTCAAGTTAGCCAAGTGCCTAAAAGAACTTGAAATAGCATCCCTCCCCAACATGGAAAGGACTTCCAATAAAAACAGACCCAATCATCTTATTCACATTTCCCAAGCAGCCAGTGCCCAAAATCTTTTTTCTGAAAACTCTTCCACAAAGAAAGAATATAATAATATTCACTCACCATGGGCTAGACGGCTATTAATAGTGTGCATTTTCTCTTCAGAAGCACATTAAAGCACTGGAGATTTGAGGGAAAACTACCAGGACCAAGTTACTTTTCAATCCAGTAAGTCACATCTTGCTTTTTTTTTTTTTTTTTTCCCCCAGAAAAGTTGCTATGGTCAAAATGAGAGCACGAAACAGGAGTGGGAGAACCACCAAGCCAAACTCAAACAAACCTTCGAAATGTCTGGCCTGCAAGGGAGTCTTTAACAGAAGTGTAATTGAGGCACTGAGAGGGTAGGGAACTTGCCCAGGGCTACAGTTTATTTGGTGGCCAAGCTGGAAGTGCATTCCTGGCCTCCTAGACTGGAATTTAGTAGTTTCCCCAGCCGCCAAGGCTACTCCGTGTAAAACGTTTTCTAAAACTCTTCACTAAGGCTGTTAGCATAAGGGTCCAATTATCATTCAAAGATCAGCCTGTTAGATAATAGCTCAAAAATTCCATCCATTTTACAGCATTTACCAGAGTCAGCTAATCTCTGGGAGAACGCAGAGGGGAGGAATCCCTAATTCTGATTCGACCCCAAAGGGGTCTGATACAGCCAGGCAAGCGACGCTGGTGCCCGCACCCACAAACCGTGGAGAAAGCCTCAGCACCACTCGCCCCAACACTAAATTCCACTCCCATCTCGGCGCACTCAAGACATTCCACCTCCCGCCGCAGGCCGGATAGCCAACTCTCCTTTAAACCACCACTTTCCCGAGAAAATCGGGAAGAGACCCAGAGTCTCGCCTTCCCATACCCCTAGCCCCCCGATAAAAAGCTCCTTCGCGGGACTCGGCGGGACCCCACGCCCTGCCTGGCTCACCACGGCGGGGGAGGGGAGAGCGCCCCACACAGGAAGTGCATCCTGCGCCCCGAGCTCGCGCCCCGCCGCCGCCGCCGCCGGGTACCTGCCCCGGGCCCCGAGCCGCCTGCAGGCAGGCGACAGGCAGCCGCATCCACATGGCCTCAGGTGTCGGCGCGGCCCCTCCCCGGCCCGCTCCAAGCCCGGCCCTCCACCGCGCCTGCCTCGCCTCCAGCCCGCAGCCAAGAGGCCAGCAACGCCGGTCCCCGCGGGGCTGCCAGGAGCGCGGACCCCTCTGCACCCCAGGCCGCAACGAGCAGGTATCTCCGCCCGCAACCCGAGCACTCCCGGCCCCCTGCAAGCCTGGACGCCGGCCCGGGCCGTTGAGCTCCCCCCATCAGCAGCCCACGCTGGTCCCCTCAGCCCCCTCGGCGACTCCCGAGGCTCACACTCGCAGGGCGGGCCGGGCCACGACCTGTGCTCCCAGCCGCCAGGGCGCGCAGCGCGGCCCGGTCCCGGCTCCTCGGGCCGTCCCTTTCCTCAGGCCGGGCGGCGGTTACCTGCAGGAGCCCCCCGGCCCGTCCCTCAGCCTCCGCCGGCGCTGGGAGGGGAGGGGGCGGCGGCGCGGCGCGGGGTGGGGGTGGGGGCGCCTCCACCGCCTCCAGCTCGGACGCCCAGGCCGACGGCGGGGCGGGCCGGGGCCGCGGCCCCTAGAGGCTCGCTCCGGCCCGCGCGCTCGCTCGATTACTCCCCGCTCCGGCGCGCCTCAGGGAGGGCTCCCCCGGCTGAGGCCGTGGCCGCCTCGCAGGGGCCGAAGGCGGCTCGGCTCCGGGTTTTTTCTCTCCATTCTCCCAACACACAGGAAATAACAGAGCGTCAGGTGACGGCGCGCAGCCAATGAGGCGGCTCCGGGCCCCGGCGCGCGGGCGGGCGGGAGGGCGCGCGGCGGGGGCGGGGCGCGCGGCCGGGGGCGGGGCCGGGGGCGGGGTGGCGCGCGTGCCCACCCGCGTGCGGCGGCGGCGGCGGGAGGCGCAGCGTGGAGACCCCGCCGGGCGGCCGGGGGGCCAAGCGCCCAGCGCTACCTCCAGCCTTGCGCTTGAGGCTACCTTGCCGGGGACCCTCAAGACAACTTTCCGGGGGAGTTGGTGGCACAGAACCTTCCACTGGGGTTGCTGGAGTTCTCCTGAGCCTCTAAAGCCGGAGTCGCGCCTTTGGCAGGCGGAGAAGCCCGTGGCAATTTATGTCGTTAGTTGAGCGGTCATCAGGATAGATAGCTCCTGCTTTGCTAAAATGTCCACCCGGCCCAGGCGGGTCACACCAGACTGGCCTGCTCTCTCTGCCCATGGTGCCTAGTGGGTGTTCCTGAATGAACAACTTAGCTGAGACTCAGTGTCCTCCATTATAAAGGGAAGGAAGCCAACCTACCTCACATTTAAAATAGAGACTTCCATGCCAGTCGTGGGCAGTGGCCCTGAGATTCTGCACCCCTGGATGGCGGGACCAGGACTACAGTTAAGAGATTTCCAGGACCAAGCCTCAGGCCCTAACCAGCCTCCCCTTGTACCCCTGATGTTTACAGAGCAAAGGGCTAAATTTCTTTTTCCTCAAGAAAATCTCATGTAGAACCACCGTCTCGTAGATGTAGGTAGTACCATGTGCTCACCCCGTCATGCAAAGTGAAGTCAGTAAGGGTAGGATGAGTTTGGAGTATTGACATTCAGCTTCTGGCAAACCAGAGACCTCTTAGGAGACTTTGGATGAAGTGTCCCCTAAAACTACTGATTCTAATGTTGGGGGAGTATGTGGCTTCTCCTCCTAAAGCAACCCAAGCTAAGAGTAAACTGGGGTCCCAAACGTGCTTTGGGTTTAGAAGATGGAGGCTGACAGGAGTCAGTTGTGGTCTGGAGACCAGATTTCATATGTCTGGGGTCTGCAGCTCTCTGAGGCCCGACTTACCCTTTCACCTTTCATTCTACCTAGCCAGAGCAGTTAATGCTTTCACTTGGCCCAGGCCACCCACAGAGGGTCTGGGGATCCCAGGCAGGGCCTGAGTGGTTCTGGGGCCCCTGGCAGGAGAATGTGGTAAAAGCAATGATTTCTCCTGGCTTCTGTCCCATCTCACCAAGCGGGGGATGATCTGGATGCAGGTCGGGACCATTCCTGGGGATTTCATTTCCCCACACCTCTAGCAAGCCAGGCGAAGTGCCAAGCCCTTCCGGAGCAGGGCTGAATAGGCCGCCAGGCCCTGCCCTCTGGCTGTTCCCATTGTTCTAACTGTGAGTTTCATTTTCAAATTCTCAGGCACTAAAGCTTTTAAGAGACCAAAGCCTGGCTTCAGCTCATATCAGGACTGCAGAAAGGTGGGAGGGACTCTCCACAGACCCAAAGTTTTCTGTACAAAAAAACCTGGAGACTATAGATATCTGTCTTGGAGACTAGATGTTGAGGGCATCCCCAGCTTCTTGAGCAATGCATGAAGAAAAGGGGCACCCATTTCCTCACACTCCTGCCACCATGCTCCCTTCTTCCTAGGTTTCACTTTGTCTCAAGGGGACAAAGGAGCAGGAACAAAATAGAACAGCTCTCACTAGGAAAAGAATGCAGAGAGATGCGGGGCCCAGTTCCCGCCTCCTTTCCTAAGGTGACCTCCTCTCTACTTTTGCAGCCCCTAACAGAATACTGTGCAGGTGACCATGACATGGAAACTTGCCCCTTTCTATAGCCAGGTCTACCGGGGCCCTTTTAGTCCCTGGTGACCTACCATGCATGTTCCTTTGCAAGTATCACATGGAGAGAAAACGTTCACTGGAATCATGGCCAGCAGACAGATATTAGTACTCCTGTGCCGCGTTTCACCTGAGTGCCATTTCACCTGAGTGCCAGACCGGAGCCCCTCATATTCCCTCATTTACAGGTACCGTGGGGACCTAAAGATAGCTGCATAAAGAATTTTTGCAGTACCAGACACTGTTAAATCTAGCTACACCGCAAGGCACACCTGTATTCCCAGCAGTCAAGAGGCTGAAATAAGAGAACCACTGTAAATTTGAGGCCACTACAACTGAGCAGATGAAGCTCAGATAAATTCATTTATTGCCCAAAGTCCCACAACTCAAAACCCCATAGGGGGAGTCATTTTAAGATAGAGTATCACTATGTGGCCCAGGCTGGCCTCAAGTCATGATTGTCCCCCTGCCTCAGCCTCTGGAGTGCCGGGATCACAGCCCTGACAGTACTACCCAGCTTGCCCCAACCTTTTGTATCCTTCATCTCAAATGTATCCACCTTGGTTTTTTCCTTCTCCACTTTGTGGTCTTTTAAGGAAAGCAGAGGAAATGAACTGTTCCTTTTTCCCCATCTCTCCTAACGCAGTCCACTTCAAAATACTTATTGAACAGAATCACTGTGTATCAATTCCAGAGGCAAAATTAATCCTTTCTCGCCTCCTCTGGCTCAGAGATGTCTTTTGGAAGCCCCATGTCACTCCTTTTATTACAAACTCCTCAGCCCTCCTCCAGGAACCTGGGCCACTCTGGGATTACAAATGGAGCCTTCTGCCTCTAGGTCACTGATTCTGCTACCATCTGTCAGCATGGATTGATTGAGGAGACTGGCCCTGCTCGGCAGATCGGCAACTTGTGAGAGCTGAGCCAGGGTGTCTGCCTTCAGCTGCAGGCTAGTGTCCTTCCCAGCACTGGCTGACTTTCTTGAGCACTCAGACAGCCCTTACCTTTAGCCATCAACAGGCCCCTTACTCTCCTTCCTCTTTGGAGGGCCCACCTGCTAGCAACTCTAACACACCAAGAGGGAAGCCTGGAATCCTTGCTCATAAGCCTGCGGCGGCGTCACCTCTAGACTTCCAGGAGGTAGCTCAGAGTCTGTGGTTACAGAAGGGGAAACTCCCCCAACAGCAGGTGCCTGTCCCAGGCCAGGTAACTTCCGCAGGCAGAGGCTGGAGACACTGCCCATGCGCAGGCACACAGGCACAGCTTGCCTTGGGCACACCCTCACAGAAGCGCCTGCAGTCTTTGAGACTCTCAGGCAAGGTGAAGGAAGACTATAAAGCTGGGGGTGGGGATGACCAAAACTGTAGGCGGAAGGAACTACTGCCGCCGCTGTGCACAAGAGACCTCTGCCCAGAGCAGTAGAAAGCGATAAGACTAGGTAGAGACCCTGCAGGGCCTTGTGTCTTGCGAAGGGTTCAACATGTCTGTTACAGTCTCATAGCATCCTCTGCTCACCAGCTTGCCCCTCCCCTCTGCCCTCCAAGATCAAAGTCATGGTTCCCACTGGTCCCACTGGGCTGTTCGTACGTCTGTATTTGTTACTGGACATTTCCACCTCCCTTTGGTGTCCGGCACCCTATGCAAAAAAAAGGCAACATGTCCACAAAAATTACATATCAATTATTATGAGACAGCCCAGAGAATACCAGATACTGGGCAGACTTCCTTTTATCACCCTAACTAATGTTTGAAACAACCTGATGAGGTTGATAATGATGCCATACCCCACTTTACAAATGCTGCCACTGAGATGTAGGGGAATTTCAGGAACTTGTCCCAAGTCATTCAGCTTGAAAGAGGCAGAGCCCTAAGTCCTAGGCCCCCAGAGACTGTACTTCTAACCATCCAGCTTCCCAGTGCTCAGTGACAACCAGAAAGAGGGGCTGGTAGGTCCAGTCTCCAGGTGACCAGAGAAAGACAGCACAGAGTACAAAGGACTCAGCAGCAGCTTCTCCCCAGGGTTCTGCTGAGGCCCTGGAGACAGTCTGGGGAACTCATGCCTAGGAGCATTCATTTTCCTGAACAAGGAGGACCCTGAAACCAGGTGTTAGGAGACATTAGCTTTCCACCCAGCTTGAAATTCACTGAACCTGTGGGCTGAACTCTTCCTGGGCAGCCACTAGCATGGCAATACCAACCCAGGTCACAAAAATGGGGACCGGTCTGGTCTCACCAGCGGGTATTCCTCAGCAAATATCTAATGACTTGGAGTCTCAATTATCTATGAATTGGGATTTGGGCCATGGGGAGCCAGTGTTCTTCCTGCCTCCTGGGAATGGGGTCCCTTCCCTGGCTGATGTTTCACACTCCTCACTACAAGCCTGTGAGGCACCAATCACCACCTTCACGATACTGAGCAGAAAATAAGCACACAGAGAGGTGAGTGACTAATTCCAAGTCAGGCAGCCAGCAGAAAGCAGATCTGGGACTGGTAGCCAGCCTCTGGCTGGAGAGCTTCACTAAGTCACTCAGAGTGCTACAGAGTTAAAGATGAATGATCTGACTGTAGTACTAGCAGAGGCACATTCTAAGCACCAGCTCACTGAATCCCCACAGCAAACCTAGGGAGCAGGTAGTGTTCTTCCTTTTGCAGGTAAGGAAACCGAGGGACAGCAGTTAGGCTAAAACACCGACCCAGGCGAGTGGGGCTGCCAAGCCCCTGCATCGCTTCATCATGCGGTAACAATGGGAGGTTCCTTTCCATCGGGATTATTTCTGCTTGAAAGCTCAAGACTTTTAGCCACATCATTGTCTGGGCGCCACAGGAAGGCAGTGCCACATGCTGAGGCATGCTGGGAAAAGACTTTGTTCCATCCTGTTTTGTTGACATGCTCTTCATTTTTAAGCCTGAAACTCAAGTTTCCTGCTAAGAATGCAAACGGAGGAGAAAAATGCAGCCATGATAACGGCCACTGCTTCCTGAGCCACACTGTTTCTGGGGCTTGTGACTCTATGTGTCAGTTACTGTATGTGTAACCTCGGCCTTCACGAGGCCAGAGCAGCACCCCAGTTCATTGCTAGAGAGGCCCAAAGGTGCTCGGCTACTAAGTG